TTGAATGTTGTACCTGCACTAAAAGCGGTTTCGGACATTGTAAGAAAAAAATCAAAGAAAAGTAGGTCGTAATAAACGCAAGTTCCACCGCAAACAGTTTTTATATCAGCAATTTTCTTGAGATATCATCAAACTTAACGGCGATATAAACACTTGGGGCGTGCTGAAAATATATTTTTTTGTTAACTAGTAACAACGCATTCGCGTGCTGCAAGGTGATTGCTTTAAATTGCCTGTACTATTAATTCGAACAAGTCCTAACCAAAGGTGCAACAAGTAATAGGGAATTGTGCTATACAATGTACATTAAGACTGTCTAATAGTCAAGCATAGCATCAGCGGTCGCATTACAGAGATATCGAAGAATGCAAGTGTAAAAAGCATGCAAAGAAGAAAACATGACTCACCTTTAGGCGCCTAAGTATATTCATTCCCCTAAAAATAGAGAAAAAGAAAATTAAAAAATATCTAAATAATATAAAAAGTATACAGAAAGAATGTTATGCATAAGAAACGAGCAAAGTTCATCCAGTAGGTGGCAAATAAGCGTGTTCGTGTTATTTCCAAAAAAAAACAGCACCGAGTCTGCAATCGATTAGTAAGTGATAGAGAAGCTTTAAAAGTGAAAGAGTGGAATAAGAGAATTAGGATACAAATTCACAGTGCACAGTGGTATAGGAAAAGACTCTTTTTGGTCATGAATAAAACACGGCAGTAACATTTTCCAACTATCGCAATTTTCAATATATCAATTGAATATCATAAATGTAATTAATTAACGAATACGTGCGTGTATTACACCAACATGCAGTAATTTATCGTAAAACATTATAATTATGGTCGTGATTTTCCCTTTTGGTAACCTTCTCACTTGCGTACTCTCTAAAATGAAGTTGCCGTCAAATATAGTCTTCAATCAGCCCTAATAAAATCCCATAGCATCTGAAATTAGAAAATTTATAATACACAGTCTTTATCTACAAGAGAAAACACTTCAAACCCCATTGTATGACAATCCTTCCTCAAATGATATTTTTTTCACAGTTTCCGTGGACAGCGCTAAGTCGAAAAGTCATGGGGGCATCGGAATTACGAAAATATTTTTCTTATTTTTGTACGCGAAGCATAAACATTCTAATACATATAATGAATAGACAGTTTCGAATTTAAATTTTTTTACAATAAAATTTGCAAGATTAACCTATCTTTTTCTATTTTAGTTAATAATAATTAATACACCTAAAGTCAGAAAAATTAGCTATTTATGGATAGTACCTAAGATATTTAATTAGTCCCCAAGGGTATTTCATCGCTTAATAACAAATCTCGAAATAAAAAATTGCAAAACTGGCTTCTATCAAATTCCGAATTATTAAAACAAAATGGATTCCTTAAGTAAACTTTTCTCCCGTAAAAAAAATTAATTGCATGTATACCTTTTCGTACGAATTATAGGCTTAAGTTATTAACGATTGTTACCAAGCTAGCAGTGCACTCTCCTGCTTAGGCGGTTGCGTTTTAGCCAAGGAAAAATGGAGTGGTACTGGTCTACTATTGGTTTAAAGAGGACGCCGGTCGCAGAAATTTCGTTGGTTCCGTTTTCTTTAATATAAATAGCGAGGCGCAAAGAGAAAAGTAGGACACGTGTAGTTCGATGTTTCCCAAAAAGACGTGAAATGACTGTCAAAGCGCAATTTAAATGGTTAACAATTGAATCCGGAGACCTCGCAAAATTTATGTTGTTTGTTTAAGTATACAGCTAAATTTTTAGATCAGTAAGTTCTTATTAAAATTGGCGATCTGTATTTTTATGGGTCCCTACTTCCGCGTGCGTCATGACCGGTTCATGGGATCTTTTTTACGTACCCCAAACGGCTCAGTCATAAATTAATCATGATGACTCATAGAGTCGTGTGATGCGCCGAAACTGCAATATTAAACGGCCGCGGGTTTTTTTATGGATTGCTTTTGTGCGCACGTTTCGCGGGACTAAACAAATTAGTTCGTGATTAAAGGTGGTCCTTTTAACTAAATAGCGCGATTTTTAAGCGTGCTAAAAATTCAAAAAGTAGAGTAGGGATTAGTCCGATAGAAATAGGGATATTTTACACGAGTATTACGCAAAGTAGTCATGGTAGACAATAAAAGAAGTCCCGAAAACGGATTAATTACGGCCCGATCTAACGATCCAAGAAGAAGCTTCGTTAACCAAGTTGCTCAGTATCATAAGACCGTTAAAAAAAATTATACGTAAAAAAACTGCGATAAAACGTGCACGAAAATTCATTAGCGGTTAAGGAATACCTTCATTATACGTGTCGTTTGAGCATATGCCGATATGGATTAAAATTTCGTATCTAGAACTATCTAAAAAATTACGAGCGAATGATAGCCCCAACACAACAATAATTGATTAATGAGGTACCTATCTGCAGTTCATTTACCTTCGTTGTAAAACGATGATTTGAATTGTTAACGATAGGAAAATGTTATCTCATTTTCGTGATCAATTTTGTTTTGTTAAATCATTTAGGTGTCAGTTCAGATTGAATTTATTGGGTATTTCGTTTATTTTTTTAAAAGGTTGATGTAATGTAATGTTTCCGTAGAAAATGGGGAATATAATAATTCCGCGTAAAATTTGCCTACGTTACTGAAGATAGCGGCCCTTAGCGAAGTGTTGGTTGGTTTGTCGCGTTGTCAGGCGCAAGTAATGGATGTAAAATTTAGTTTTGTTTAAGGAGAGAAGACACGTTAAATACTGGAGTTAGTGTTGAAAAGGGGCCTTTTGCAAAGTTCGAGGCCGATTTGCGGTTCGGTAAAAGAGGCCTTTTGCCAATTTCGAGGCCGGGTGCTGTCGTGTTTGGTGGCAAAGTTTTACCTTTCTTCGTGTAAACAATCTTGTTATTCGTCATATACAATTCAATACGTGGTAATCAAGAGTTGAACCAAGATCGAGTTAAAGTTTTGAAGAAATCGTACGTAACAGTTTGGGGTAGCAGTCTTCATTGCAGTTATCGCCCACGTAAACGGAATACCATCGATACATAGGCCGTGTGTTTACGTTCAGCCAGTTAATTCAAATTTGAATAAAATCGACGCTTGTGCAACATGAGAATTTAAGAAGAGCAACTTAGTGCGCTACCTTTTGGTTAAGTGCATTGTTTGTTTTCGCAACTAGTGTTCTAATTGAAAACTGTAAGTAGTCTAAGATTTATAGATTTTGTTTAATTGTATTCGAAAGCGTATGCAGGGTATGTTTAAATGGACGCTATTTTAGTCCAATTTTGATAATAAGGATTTTATGTCTTTTTCATTTGTGTGTGTAGAATAAATTTTGTTTGTGTGAAATCATGCGAATTGTGTGTTTATTCGATCCCTTTAACGATCCAGATATATGTCTCATGTTTAATTATAATTAATGCTGTTGATCCGTACGCTAAGTTGACTTCGGGTGTTTTCATAATTTGTATAAGTGATTCTTTTGGAATTTAAGGAATTTAATCGTGGCTATTGTTTCCTTTAGAATCTGGAATTTGAAGTTATATTAAATTTTTTTATTGTGCCGGGATTCGGATGTGTCCTGGGAGAGATTTGAGGGCTAGCAAGGTTTGAGGTTTTTCTGTATGGTTCATTTTGGTCGGGCCGTTACACATAGCATTTTATTGTTTTAAGTTTTTTATTTTTGTTTTGTTTATTTGTTTCTTGTTAAATTGGATGATTAGATACTCCATTTTTCATTATAATTTTGTATATTGCTGTGTAAACAATGGCTGTTTGAAACGTTGAGGTTTAGGTCCAGGCACTTGGGATGATATGTGAGTGGTCTAATTATTAATCAAATGGTCATTACAACTCATGTTAATCAATTTCGTGGGATTATTTACCAATAAACACAAGACGACTTTTTGTATCTGTTTTGATTATTTATTTCATTATAATAGTAAGAGTATGTCTTGGGAATTCTATCTCAATTTCTGTTATCAAATTGTTGCTAATGCATTTGTGGCAGCTCCGATTTGATTTATTAGGTGTTGTTTATTTTATATAAGATTAATGTAAATAGTATAAGATGACTTTGTAATCGAAAACTGTTTTGTTTTCGTAGAAATGTTATAGTTTAGATAAGATAATTCCGAGTGAAAGCTTAAGACATGTCGAAAAAGTCGAGTTATCCCAAGAAAACATAGCGGATAGGAGCGACAACAGAAGATTTGAGAGACACTCATTTATTTGATGCTTTTACCCCATCAACAGATACGTTGCGTTCAGTCATTCCATTTTCCCTTTGGGAGTATCCTCTAGCACGTTTCCGAGATTGAAAGTTCTGGTTTCATCGTTTGATAAATCTCATAAACTCACTCAAGCTTAAGCTTTCGCTAATTAGATATTAAGACAAAGCTTCGCGACGTTTTCACAATGAAATTGACCATTAAGTAACAATCTTGGCACTTTTTGATTTTTTGCAGCAAATAGGTCATAAAACAAATAGATTTTCACTTTTCACCAAAGTACCTATCCTAAGATACCCACATTACTATGGACTGCCAGTGAAACATCGATGACCTTAGCCTTTGGCCCTGTGAGTCATATGATCGCGCTCAAAATACCGAAAACAATGAACCCGTTTTTCAGTAATTGCGGACACGGCTAGACATGGCGAAATTATAAGGTTCTACTAAATTGATGCTTGAACATACTGAGATTAGTATTTTCGGTTGTAATAGTCCGTATTACGGAAATTACAACCGAATTACGTACGACCTCCGTCCATTTAAAACCCAAAGCGTCGTACCTAGGTTGATAGTTTTGACATTTGTGGATAATTATGACTTCCAAACGTACATGATCTATTCTAAATTTTTTTCATTACGCACGGGTGTAGGCAATGGGTCATACGTTATGACCTCATTTTCAGGGAGGTCATAGAAAAAGGAAAATGGAAAGCAAGGATTTTGAAGGTTGTGGAGCTGCAATGTGTCAGAAAAAAAACGAAATAATGCGGTGTACCTTCTCATTTAAAATTTAATACAATCAAACAGTGCTGAGCCGGTACAGCGTTTTCTATTTAAATCGCTGCTGCCACTTCTTCGCAAGTAAAGAGCATCTCGTCTCTGATGCACCTGAATTCACAAACTTCGGCGGTTCCAGTCCAGACAGCCTCGCCTATTCCAGTACAGTCACATGGAGGCTCTTGGTCACCGGGATCGCAAAGATCCTGTGCAGTTGTATTGCAAAATCTTGCCAAGGTGATGAGGACAACGATGATGTATTTCATCTCGATAACAGATTATAATCGTCTTCAAGGGCCCTTTTCAATACAGAATTACTCGTAAGGTAAATTTATACTTACTTGCTCTTTGGTGTTGGAAGAACTTTACAATGATGGCACTATCCAAATTCTGTGCTTATATACAGATTGTTAGGCCAAAAAAACCTTGGTTCATTTAAAAACTTTCCCTACTGCAATTAATACTTAATTAAATAAAAATAGGATGAATATTTATGGTTGACTTTGACTCATAGCAAATTGGGCAATTATGATGTTTTCTTCCCTCATTTGCACATTTACTGCTGTATTGTTATCACTAACGAGACTCAAAGCCTGTAAAATCTGTAGCTGATGGTTAGCATCTTTTAGTTAGAAAAAAATTAAACATGCTCGATCAGTCAAATTTTGGTGCATATATCTGTAATGGACGGGTTCACAAATCAGAAAAGTCGGTGCAACTGCGGAAGAAAGTCAAGACACCTGAGAGAACTAAGGACTCCCAATAAACCAAAGGAGCTGGGAAGCACACAAAAGCCAAATGCTTCATTGCTTATTATAGAGAAACTTGCCTTTTGCGGATAGAACAGAAAGCATAAGAAATTAACGAATCCGAAGCAAATGAAGATGATGTGAGACAAGGGAACCAGAAGAAGCTGAGAAAGCCAATGCACTCTAGGAGACCAAAGGAATTAGTGATAAGAGGAAATAAAGACCAAGGGCAAGAATGTCATAGAATCTACTGTAACCGAGAAACTTGAAGAATGTGCAGAAGCCAAAGAATTCGGGACAGCTTAAGGGCCGATTGCACAAATTGATTCGGGTTTAATCCTGATCCTGGTGTGATTGGTTAAAGCCTTTGACACTACCGAATCAGGGTATAAACACATCCACGATGGAGCCAATCAAATGCTTTAACTCGAATAAAAAATAATCGCCTGGTAATGCCTCATTTTTTTTGTAAAACTGGAACTAAGGGACTTGTTGACGCAAAATAGTTTTAAGGATTCGAGGTAATCGCTAAGAAATTCGTAGGAATCAACGGAGTTTAAATAAGCTAAATTCCAAGACGACGTTCTGCAATTAAAGCTCTCACCACGTCTATTAAAAGAGCTTTAGTAAAAATCCCTCTTTCCCTATCGCTTCGTATCGGGGAAAACATAAGAACAAAAAATCGTACCAGCCGACGTTCTCACCCTGAATAGACCATAATGAATCGTCGCCATGAAGTGTATCAGTACAAGATAGAAACATTCAGTGCTCTCTCTCGTGCCAGTCCCTGTAATGTGAGTTTGCATGACGCCAGACGATTCTGCATTATTCAGACAATTATCTTGAGCAAAGTGTGCACGCTGTCTTTGTTAAAAATGTTTGTTGTACAATCCCAATGTTCATAATTCATTGTTTCTGTTAGATTTATTTGTTTGCACTCCTGATTCTGAACGGCAAATGTAACTAATGTTGCCAATATTCTGCTGTGGCCCCACATTGGGCGCCAAATAAATAATACTGTGGCCCCATGTTGGGCGCTAAATAAAAAATGCTGTGTTGAATAGTAAAATCAAAATTTAAACTTAGTTGGTCCTAGTTCTGGCATCTGCCACAAAGATCCCAATATTGACCTAAATTAATGATTGGGTCACTCCGTAGCCTCCATCCTCCCGAAAATTCTAGACAATTTTGCATTAACACCTGACACAATTCTTGGACACGAGATGAAAAATCTGACATGAAATCTCTATCCGGGTCGCACAAAGGATTCGAATAAATACACAATTAATTGATTGACAATGACAAACATTTTTTCTGAACAACATGAAATGAAAAACTAAAACAAAATTCCTGAAATAAAAAGAATCTTACAAAGCTTGTTTTTGCATGGTACCCGGTACACAGGCGGGATAATTAAAATAAGAAAATCTCAAAATTACTTAGTTTTTTTTCTTTTTAATAATGGTCGTCGTTTGCAATAAACTGGTGCACTAACTCAACACAAAAGCAGACAGCTTGAGAACTTCACTTTTATGTACCACAAACTTGATGATAAACGAACTGGCACGATGATAAAAATGATCGGTGGTTATACGAACGGTTTAAGGCTGACCCGACAGGCTGAATTTGGAACGCCTACAATGGTTTCCTAGCAGTCCAAATGCTACGTAACTAATAAATGCACCCAACCAATTTTCAAAATTGTAAGAGTATAGAAACCTAGAACCATCCTTTGTTTATACATTGATTCCAAAAAAAATTAATGTACTCATAAATGGCTGAGTATAATTAGACTTCTTTGTAAACGCAAAATATTGTGAAATGCATTATAAACATACGGTTGACGTTGAGCTGTCGGATCAGCCTTAAGCTTCTTACTTTGATAAATATAGAGACCCTTGCCAGATGGCTTCACAGTGCATTAAATTGATTGTTTTTTTAACTTCGCCTGACTAGAAACATGCTTTAAACTTTTCATACAAATATCATGAAAATGACGAACTTCGTCTTCAATCGATCAGATCGGGGGGACAGTCCGAATAAATAACGTAAAGAGACGTATACTCTTATCCAACCGTCGCGAACCGGCCCCGTTTTTTCCTTGTCTGTAGCATTTAACGAAACACCAGCTCCACAAAAAAAAACAAATCCCTTCCAATATTTGATAAAGCCAGCTATAAAGGAACGTGCTCACACTTACTCCGAAAATAACACGCACAAACGTTGTCCATCTGTATCTTTGGTTACCAGCACTAAAATAAAAATGTACGCAAATTGACCAGATGTTTCTTACATTTTAACACACAATTACACATTTTGCAATTAAATACAATAAATCCAAATAAACAGTATGTAACTGCAAACAATTCAAGTAAAATGAACCAACTCTGTGTTTATTCGTAAACAACCCCCTCCCTCGATTCACTTAAACAAATTGAAATAATCTCATATACAGGGTGTCCCGTCATCATTTACGGAGTTTAGACGTTGTTTACATAACAATATGCTCACATGTTTCACTTAGCGAATTGCACTGCAGCTTTGTTTGCTTACTAGTTCATCCAAAAAGTGTTAAGATCTCAAGTTCTCAAACTAAATTTAAAGGGTAAGAAACGCAACATTCGATAATGCGTCGACCATTAAAATGATCATACTCTAACGTGACTGATGTCCATTTTACGCAAGTCTCATCAAGATTTCTCTTGTCGATTGTTGCCCCGGCCCGGAGCATCGTACGCAGGATACTTCAAAAAATGATATACAATGATTATTTATAATACCATACCCAACAATCCTAACTAAATGGAGATAAGAATGAATAAGATCTGAGAATTTGGCGAAATTAATTATATAATCGAAGTCATAGCCAGAAGGGCTTAGGTTTGTAAGGATCTACAACACAAGAAACCCCAAAGGAATAAAAAAAACAAAGGCATTCTCGAAAGTAATGATATAAAAAATAAATGCTTCATTTTTGCGAAGTGAGATTGTGATCGTGAGAGAGGTTTCCATTTCCACGTACCTACAATTCGATTGTTGAACGTAATTATAAAAACGCACCCTTTTAGTAACAATTTTGTGTTTTTCATTACCGAAAATAACGTTACAGTAATAAAGTCATCTTTAACTGGATATTTCTCGTTTTCGTGCACATTTTCTAACCTAACTTGACGACATGAAAAGCACCAGTCAATTTTCAGTTACGCATCGTCGAGCGACTACTGTGTATGAAAAAGCATTTAAAATGTAAATTTCAAAATTTGAATTTTTATTACCTCCTTCCTTTTATTTCGATCCTGAAATCGTTGTGTAAATGTACTATTATTTTTGTTTAATACGTTATAAAATTTTACTTGTCCGTCTCTTCTCCATATCGCCACCTTAGAAATTACGCATTTGAATAATTTCTGTTGGACGAATTACGTTATACGAAAACGCGATTATCGAATTTTTAATTCGCGCTCGTTAGATGGCCGGACTAAAGCCGTAATTCAATTTGCATTCCGTGCAAACAAGTTTTCGTCCTGATGGACCAAACCCAACTTTTATACGACTTCCATCCTGGAAAATTAATTTTAATACCGATTATGTATTTTTCTACTTCTTCTCTTTCTTCTTTCAGCATACCTACTTAGTTTTTCAATTCTCTTTGAAAATATAAGCAACGTTATTTATATAATTCAAATGTCAATTGTCTACAGTACTTGTTTTCGACGGTTTATAAAGAATCCGCTCTTCGTTCCTTTTTAATAATTTAGTAAGCTCAAACATCAAAGCAGTCACTTAAGAGAGAGTGGACTCTTTATGCTTTGCTCTTAAACATCATTTTACCTTATTTATTATTAGCTATTATTTTACATATTTGTATTTATACATAAATTACTTTCATTTCTAATACTCATTTTACAGTAGCTTCACGACTAAACTATAAATATCTGATTGATACAGAAAGACAATTTTCACCTCTATCACTAAGTTTCAATAATAAAAAATTGAAATCCGAACCAATTAAGACAGTCCTTTTATATTTGTCCACCTGTTGTCAATATCAACTTTCATGTATCATATTTTGATATAAATAATTTTATAATTAACAACATCCACCTTTCGGCGTCGATTAAAGAGCAGTCGACGCTAATTTAGTGCTCTTACAACGCACTTTACTACACTTTTTCACCGCCCATGGAGATAGTAATTTCTATGCATTGATCAGTCTCTAATTTCCAAATGAATTAGTCTCTTTTTATTTCTGTAAGAAGACCGACGGTTGCAGAATGTCTCATTGGATTTTTTAATAGTGCTGATAACATTAGCATGAAATAAGGTACCTTGAATTTTTTTGCCGATGATGTGTAGGTGCGACTTGCAAGTAAGTAAGGAAACGGAAAATTAATTAATGCGTCTTGAGCTGTCGTAGAGCTCAGTGCAATCTCAGTAAGCGTAATTTTTATTTCGCGGTAGAGCCTTGGTGTAGCTCATGTGTCTATTATTTCCAAGGTTGTTTTGTCAACATCCTCTTCTATATCTATGAATTACTACTAGTGTGGGCTGTTTATAGTCCAGCGGTCTCTTAATCCGTCCTACGAAGCAGTGCAGGGGTCACTCTGTAGCTCTTCCTGGGGAGTAGGCGAGTTGGTTAAGGCGCAGCAGGAGGGCTGGTACTATGTCGTGTTGAT